TATTGTACAAGCATTGTTAATGTAGTGTGAAGAATGTTATACAGGCATTGTTAACATAACATGAAGAATGTTATACAGGCATTGTTAACATAGCGTGAAGAATGTTATACAGGCATTGTTAACATAGCGTGAAGAATGTTATACAGGCATTGTTAACATAGTGTGAATAATGTTATACAGGCATTGTTAATGTAGTGTGAAGAATGTTATACAGGCATTGTTAACATAACATGAAGAATGTTATACAGGCATTGTTAACATAACATGAAGAATGTTATACAGGCATTGTTAACATAACATGAAGAATGTTATACAGGCATTGTTAACATAGTGTGAAGAATGTTATACAGGCTCTGTTAACATAACGTGAAGAATGTTATACAGGCTCTGTTAACATAGTGTGAAGAATGTTATACAGGCTCTGTTAACATAACATGAAAAATGTTATACAGTCTTTGTTAACATAATGTGAAGAATATTGTACAAGCATTGTTAATGTAGTGTGAAGAATGTTATACAGGCATTATTAACATAACACGAAGAATGTTATACAGGCATTGTTAACATAACATGAAGAATGTTATACAGGTATTGTTAACATAGTGTGAAAAATGTTATACAGGCTCTGTTAACATAACGTGAAAAACGTTATACAGTCTTTGTTAACATAATGTGAAGAATATTGTACAAGCATTGTTAATGTAGTATGAAGAATGCTGTTGTGTGTATATATATACACATCGAAAAATTAGTTTGATATTGAAGTTAAGCTAGTAAGAGATATAGTAAAACACATCTGGACTATGTAATTGTAGTAATAGAACATAGAAGAATAATTCATCTTATCAACTGTGTGTGGACTTTTGATACAACTGTGGTGATTAACTGTGTAATGAACATTTGTATATATATATGTTTGACTTGTTTCAATATATTACTTTAAAACAAGTGGACTGTGTGCTGTTCGTATATTGTTGAAATTTATCGCCAACAATTCACAGACACTGTGAAGAATCCTTGTCTACATACACATTTATAAAACTTGATACTGTTCATTCTTTGTAAAGAATGTTGTAATGCACCTTTCAAGTTTGCGTGAAGAATTTGTTCAGGTACTGCTAAGGTAATGTGAACAAAATGTTTTGACCAAATTTCACCATCCATTGTTTCAGAACTATGATGTGGTTGGTTTAGATGCTGAGTGGAAGCCAACATTTGGGATCTCGGAACCAAGGTGAGTTTTATGCTGTAAGTATGTAAAGTGTCAGTATTTTTAGGGACTTATCTTGATAAGGTACATTGTTTAATGTTGGAGTTTATTAAGTAAATTATATTAACCCTTTCCACATGGGTCAAAGGCCATGTCATCACTTTTGTTGACTTGCATTCAAATTTTTATTGAACTTCTATTTTATGAATTTATGTCAATAAGTTTGGTATC